TGGCAAGTTTCAGAAGAAGGAAAATCAAGAGGATCAAAGAACCACCTTGAGTGGGTTCAAAACTTTTCAACCTAGCTATGGTTTAAAAGCATAGCTCTTTTGAATAGTTATAGAATACTTTTTTGTTGATGTAAGGGGAGAGTCTCCCTTATTTACGATTCCTAGATTCTTTGTATTGAGAGGAGTACTCTCTTAGGTGCTTAGTTTCTTGGTTCACCTTTTTTGTACGGGGATGAGTTGACTAACCTTCTAGGTAGGTCGACTACTGAACCACCATAGGTTTGAAGGTTAGGTTTATGTCCCCCTCCTTGTAATTTTCTGCTTTATCTGTGCTAAAGCCTGGGGGTGTTGCTAAGCCCCTGACCACCTCAAGGGTCATTAAAAAAAAAAACACTCAAAACCCAAAATCCTTAACCCTAAACTCTAAAGCCTAAACCCTTTACCCTTTACCCTATGCCCTTAAGCATAAACACTAAACTCTAATCCCTAAACCCTAAACCCTAAATCCAAACTCTAAACCCTAACCCTGAATCCTAAACTCTAAATTCTAAACCCTAAACCCTAAACCCTAAACCCTAACCTTAAACCCAAAACTCTAAACTGTAAACTCTAAACACTAAACCCTAAAACCTAAATCCTAAGCCCTAAACCTTAAACCCTAAACACTAAACAGTAAACCCTGAATCCTAAACCCTAAACACTCGATCCTAAACTCTAAAGCCTAAACCCTAACTCCTAAACTCTAAACCCTAGAGCCTAAACCCAAAATCGTAGACCCTAAAACCTAAACCCTAAACCATAAACACTATACACTATACACTAAAGTTTAAACCCTAACGCCTAAATCTAAAGTCTAAACCCTAAACCCTAAACCCTAAATCCTAATCTCTAAACTCTAAACCCTAAACCCTAAACCCTAAAAACTAAACTCCAAACCCTAAACCATAACCCTTAATCCTAAACCCTAAACTTAAACTCCAAACTGTATATCCAAACTTAAAACTCAAATCCCTAAACCCTAAATCCTAAACCCTCAACCCTAAACCCTAAACTAACTTAAACCCTAAACCCTAAACTCTAAACCCTAAACCCTAAACCCTAAACTCTAAACCCTAATAAACCTCCTAAACCTTAAATACGATCCTTAAACCCTAAACCTTAAAATTTTAACCCTAAATTCTAAACCCTCAACCCTAAACCCTAAACTAACTTAAACCCTAAACCCTAAACCACCTTAAACCCTAAACCCTAAACTCTAAACCCTAATAAACCTCCTAAACCTTAAATACGATCCTTAAACCCTAAACCTTAAAATTTTAACCCTAAATTCTAAACCCTAAACCATAAACCCTAAACAATAAACCCTAAATCCTAAACTCTAAACCCTTAATACAAATTCTAAACCTTAAACCGTAAATCAGAAACCCTAAACCCTAACCCTGACCTAAACCCTAAATCCAAAACACTAAACCCTAAACCCTAAACCCTAAACCCTAAACCCTAAACCCTAAACCCTAAACCTAAACCTATCGCCATCCCATTTCTTGAATTTTTTCTCTCTCTAAAAATTATCACCCTAAAATTCTCTCCAAAGGTACTAGGAACAGCAGTTCACCGGAATGGCTGTAGAGCCGCCGGAGAAGCAGCTCTTACCACCGGACCAGGTCCATGTGGTGCGGAACTCCAATAGCTACAAACCCCAACTGGGCGCTTCACCAGAATCATCAGACAATTCCTCAAAATTGCGACGCATTGAGGCGATCCACGTCGCGATCTCGGAAGAGGAACTGGACTGGGCACGAAAAATTATTTCTTTAGACCAATCTGGTTTGATTCATGTTAATTCAACCAGGAATAATGAATCCCCATCTAAAGATCTAGTTACAAACCAAAAATCACAAGATTCCATCGAGCAAATTGGGAGATCTGTGAAGGCGATTTCTGTAGAAATCGCCGAGAAATCGCCTCAGACGCGCCGCCATATTCGAACAACTTCAGATGGAATTAAAGAGGTTTCGACCACTGGGGAATCTTCCCCAGGTCTTGATGTACATCTTACTGAAATCTCGACGAGTTTTAATGGTGAAATCGCAGGTCACACTAATTCCGGCAAAGTCACCGGAGCTCCGATCAACAATGGAGATAAAGCTGAACACCAAAATACTCAATATGACAAGGACAACAACCCTGGGGTAACAATACCAACTACTCAACATGAAAATAACAATTGCAATTCTTCTAATTTGCAGGGCAAAGATGCATCACATTCAAAGGAGCATATCAGGAAGGAAGAGCAAGAATCAGTAAGGGTGATGAGCAAAATGAATCAAGGAAACAATCAAAATACAATGCTTACATCAAATCAGATGTTTGAAGTTATGAATCAAGAACAAACGAAGAGGAATGCAAAGGCAATCACAGATGAAAATGTGAAAAAAAATCTGCAAGTTGAGCGATCTGCAGCAACCAAGCAGAACCAAATAAAGAAGATGCCAAAGTCTAATGAACAAGCGGGAACATTCATGGATAAACAGCATAACAATGGGGAGAAGTTCATTTGGCAAGCAAGGGACAAAATCAGTTCAAAGGACAACACCACACAGCATCGCGAGGAGGAAGAAGGAAATCAACAAACCAACAGCAGCAAGGAGGCAGGTAAGTCTGTTAACTTAGATCATAATACTAATAGTAATCAAATTGTGATTGAGAATGATGGTTTGTTGATGCAAACTAATGGAAATGGTGGAGTTAATCAGCAGGGCCATAAAGACCATAATCAAATGAACTCTAAAATCCCTCCTCCTATAAAGATCTCCTCCAACTTTGATGTCTATCGTCCTGTCCAGCAAAAAATAAGCCAAAACAACGTCGAACAAACCTTGAAAAAAACCCCTGTCAGCAATTCGGTTAACAAGAACAACCACCAGCAAATCCCTGATCCTGCCCCTCCCACTGTGACTCAATCTCTAGCCACTAGACTTAGAGCTAACCAACTGAAAAATGCAACTCCCATGATCATCGACCAGCCTATTATCACCACTCGCCAAGGATATCCGTCTATCACTTTCTATGAAGAGGATTTCCTAGGTAAGATGCCGGGACGATGTAAGTACACCTTGGTGGGCAAATTCCTCAATGCTATGCCTAAAATGGAAGCTATTAGAAAGAGTTTTATTGCGCAAACTCAACTTACGGGTGGTGTCAAGATAGCCCATTTTAATTCAAGGCATATTTACATTGACTTAGATAATGAAGCTGATCATATTTCTGTGTGGACAAAGCAAAAAATGTATATTGCAGGTCAGTCGATGAAATTACAAATGTGGACTCCAACCTTCAAACCGGCGGAGGAAACACCCATTGTCCCCATCTGGATTACCTTGCCGGAGCTTCCTTGGCATTGTCATTATGGACATACTAACTCCCTTGCTGTCCCCTATTGGTAAGGCATTATATTTGGACTCTGCGACCATGCAAAAAACTAGGGGAAGTGTTGCTAAGGTTAGAGTTCAAATAGATATTACTAAAGAAAGACCTCAACATGTTTGGTTGGGATTTTCTGAAAAAGACCCTAACTTAGGCAAATGGCAAATTATTGAATATGAAGATGTCCCTTCATACTGTATATATTGTAAACATCAAGGCCATGTACTTGGAGAATGCCCCCAGAAAGAAAAAGATGATGAGTTCAAGAAAAACAAAGATCAGGAGGTTGCAAAGAAAAGTCATGAAAAACAGAACATTCCAAATCCCAAAGGTAGTCAGCCACATACTCAATCCAAGGTGACCATACAGCACTACCAACAAGCCAATGACAGGAAGCATATGGAGAAGAATACTACCAACGAGGAGGAGCAATGGCAAGTTCAAACCAAAAAGAAAAACAAGCATCACCAGCAAAATCAGGAACAAGGTAAAAATTCGAACCTGCAGGTACAAAAATAGCAGACCAACAGCATACAGGTGCAGCAGAAAATGCAGCAATCAGGTATAACTTCTAACACTCCTGTGAATGTGAACCGAAAATCTGGTGATCAGATTTCAACTCCCCCATCCCCTGTAATTGTTGATGTTGATGATCATTGTGATGACAATGATCCCCCTGCCCCTGTATCCCCACTGGTTGTAGCTGCTGAAGTTATTGGAGGGAGGGTGGAAGTTCAGGAGAAAACTTTTAACTTACAGGAAGGGGATCCTAGGGGAAGGGTGTTTAATCATGCCCCTGCTACCACTCCTAAGAATACTCCTCAACACCAAGAGAAGATTCAGCAAACCAGAGACAAAGACATAGACACACCTGATCAACAAGTTCATATCAGTAAAGAAGCTAATAATCAGCTAAAAGGTTCTATGGCCAAGGACATGGGAAACAAGACAAGTACGAGTAGACAAATACATACTCCTAAAAGCAAGAACAAACCTAGCAAAAAAAAAAGAAAAGCTACCAAGAGAAAACAAGCAGAACAACAACACCAAGAACAGGCTCCTTATGACAGTCATCCTGAAGAAAATCCCTGCAAAGATTTCATAATGATGGATCAGATTATGGATGTGGCCCCCCTTAAAGCTAAATATACCACCCCTACCTCTGGGAAGCCTCCAGATCTATCTAAGGCCACAGTTAGAGATGAATATGAGGTGGATATCTCAGAAGATGAATTTGATGCTGATAATTTACCGATTAATGATCGTGATGAGGATGATGAGATCAGTGAAGCTCTTATCAATGCTTTCAGTCCCAATAAGGACAATTTTCTAGAAAATGAAATTCAACGAGTCACTAACAAACAAGGCCTCTCCCCCAGAGGCATGCATCTTGACAGGCTCCCCCTCAAACAACCTGCTTCTCCTATTCCTGTGACAGCAGGAAGACCAAATACTAGACTCTTCACCTCTAGATCATCCCAATGATTAGTACAATCATATGGAATGTTAGAGGAATCAACACCCAAGGAGTTATGGAAAGACTCAAAAACCTCAAAAATATCCATCATGTGTCAATGATTGCTGTATTAGAACCATTCTCAGATAGCATCAATATCAATATGTTTAAAAGTATGCTCGCCATGGATCATGCTACCAGTAACACCAATGGAAAAATTTGGATTTTTTGGAACACTAATATCTCGTGTACTGTATTGGAAGCAGATGAACAGCAGGTCACTTGTGAAATCAGCCACACTGAAATTCAGGGTAATTATATCAAAACCTTTGTGTATGCCAAATGCAAGGAATATCTCAGGGAACCTCTCTGGGACAGACTGCTTCACTTTGCTAATACTAGATATAATTCTCCTTGGTGTACAGTTGGAGACTTTAATGTCATAACTGACATTGATGAAAAATTGGGAGGTATTCCATACAATATGAGAAAAAGTCTAGAGTTCATTAGTGTTATTGAAGCATGTGGACTCATGGATTTGGGATTTAACGGACCTAAATTCACTTGGTCTAATCAAAGGGGTATCAATTTCAGAATTTGGAAGAGGTTGGATAGGGCTATGGTTAATGATAATTGGTTGCAAAATATGCCTCAATCTTGCATCACCCATCTCCCTTCTGTGGGGTCTGATCACTGCCCTTTACTTATGGAAATGACTGCCAGGCCTGACGACTGCATCAAATATTTCAGATTCCTTAACTGTTGGGTTGAGCAACCTTCATTCGAGAACACTGTCTCTGCCTGCTGGAACAGACCTATCGAAGGAAACCCCATGTGGATCTTCCATCAAAAAATGAAGAGATTAGCTTCTACTCTTAGTGCTTGGTCCAAGATGCAATTTGGTGATATTTATGCTAAAGTCAGGGATTTCGAGAAAAGAGTCAAGGTAGCTGAAGACAATCTCCTTCAACACAACACTGAGAAACATAGAGAAGAGCTTCATAGTATTAATGCTGAGTATATTCGATACATGAAGTTAGAAGATGCTATCCTTAAACAAAAATCACAATTGCAATGGTTTAAAGATGGTGATGGTAACTCCAAATATTTCCATGCTTTGATTAGAGGAAGGAGGAGAAGATTATTTGTCCATAAGATCCTCAAGGATAATGATGAATGGATACAAGGAGACGAACATATTGCAAAGGCAGCTTGCGATCATTTTCAGCATATATTCACAGGTGTAGATAAGAAGATTGATGAACTCCCTATGGAATGTATCCCAAGACTAGTCAGCCAGGAACAGAACGACGGACTGAAAGAAATTCCATCCATTGAAGAGCTTAAGGAAGTTGTCTATTCCATGAATCCCAATTCAGCAGCGGGACCGGATGGTATGAATGGTTATTTCTTCCAGAAGTGCTGGAATATTATCAACAAGGATTTGATGGCTGTGATTCATGCATTTTTCAGTGGCCAGATGATCCCTAAATATTTTTCACATACCTGTCTTATTCTTCTGCCTAAAGTGAAAAACCCTAACAGACTCAATGAATTCAGGCCTATCAGCTTGAGTAATTTCATTACCAATATTATTTCTAAGCTTTTATGTCTTAGATTAGCTCCTATTTTACCTAGTCTGATTTCTCCAAATCAATCAGGCTTTGTAAAAGGTAGAAGCATATCGGAGAACATTATGCTAGCTCAAGAAATTATACACCAGATTAAGAAACCTATTATTGGAAGCAATGTTGTGATCAAGCTTGATATGGCAAAAGCTTACGACAGGGTTTCATGGTCATATATTTGTTTGATCCTAAGAAAAATGGGCTTTGAAGAGATTTTCATTGACATGATATGGAGAATTATGGCCAACAATTGGTACTCTATCATTCTTAATGGTAGAAGATATGGTTTCTTCCATTCGACTAGAGGCCTTAAACAAGGTGATCCACTATCCCCAGCCCTATTTATTTTAGGTGCTGAGGTGTTAGCTAGGTCTCTGAACAGACTCCACCAACATCCTCTTTATCATGGCTTCTATATGGAGATGAGAGGACCTCAGATTAACCACCTAAGTTTCGCGGATGACATCATAATTTTCACCTCGGGGAGGAAGGATTCTCTCAAACTCATCATGCAGACCTTGACTACTTATGAAAAGATCTCTGGTCAACTCATTAACAAAGACAAGAGTCATTTTCTGCTCCATCCTAATGCCTTCAGAACTACGTGCAACAGAATTAAAAGGTATACTGGATTTCATCAAAAGGAGGCTCCTATTACGTACCTTGGTTGTCCACTATTTATTGGAAGACCGAGACTGATCTACTTTTCTGAGCTTATCAGCAAGATAATGAATAGAATTAATGGTTGGCAATCTAAGATGCTAAGTTATGGGGGTAAAGCCACCTTGATTAAGCATGTACTTCAATCCATGCCAATCCATATTCTTTCTGCTATTTCCCCCCCCCCCCTCTAGTATTCTTAAACAGATTCAAGGCATTATGGCTGACTTTCTTTGGGGACGAAGAGATGACAAGAAAAAGTATCATTGGTCGTCATGGAAAAATCTTAGCTTTCCGTATGAGGAAGGGGGAATTGGAGTAAGGTAAATGAATGATGTTTGTCAATCATTCCAATTCAAACATTGGTGGATCTTTAGAACCAAACGAACACTTTGGGGAGACTTTCTTAAAGCAAAATATTGCCAAAGATCGAATCCCATTAGCAAAAAATGGGATACGGGTGAGTCTCAAGCATGGAAGGTCCTTATGAGGAACAAACATAAGGTGGAAAAACATATCCAATGGAAGATTAACAATGGTTCGAGTTCATTTTGGTGGGACAACTGGTTAGGAGTAGGACCTTTAGCTCAATTCACTACCACGAGCCATAGATTCGACAATGAAACTATCGCAGATTTTATGGCAAATGGGCAGTGGAAGATCGACAAACTGATCAGGCTTGCTCCTCAGAACCATTTACCTGCAATTCTGTCCACTAACATACAGTTACAGCATGCTAATCCAAACCTGGCAATATGGAGTCCCAATTCCAGTGGCTTCTTTACTGTATCTTCTGCTTGGGATATTATTAGAGATAAAAGAGCAAAAACCAAGCTTAACTCCTACACTTGGAATCGAAATATCCCTTTCAAATGTTCTTTCTTGCTATGGAGAACAATTAGGGGCAAACTCCCTACCAACGAAAAGATATCTAATTTTGGAATCGAACCAAATGAATGCTACTGCTGTCACTCTCCAGGAGCAGACACCATTGAGCATACCTTTAACACGGGGAACTTTGCCAAAAATGTGTGGAGATTTTTTGCGATTTCTTTAGGCATCCAAACTGATTTTTTGCCTCTTAGAAACATGATCATGAGATGGTGGAGCTCTACTCATTACAACGAAGCACACAAGCTTATTCTCCAAGCTACTCCAATCTTTATTTGTTGGAACTTGTGGAAAAATAGATGCGCGAAAAAATACGGAGGCAAACAATCCAACATTGCAAGAGTTAAGCATTTAGTGATTTTGGACACCTTCAAGCTGCTGCATACAACCTTTCCATATATATCGTGGCCTTTGGGATGGAACAAGCTATGCACACTCATTGAAAAATGTACTCACGATATCAAGGTCACTGCTGTCCAGTGGATTAAACCACCAGCCAGGTGGTTTAAATTAAATACGGATGGGAGTGCCTTGAGTAACCCGGGCAGCATAGGAGCAGGGGGTGTGCTCAGGAATTCTTTGGGAGATATTATCTTTGCATTTTCAACCCCGTTAGGCGAGGGAACCAATAACCAAGCGGAAGTGGAGGCTGCTTTATTTGGTTTATCGTGGTGTGTACAATTGAATTATAAGAATGTGATCCTTGAAGTTGACTCCCAACTCCTTGTGGATTGGCTTATGAACAACAAATCAACACCGTGGTCTATCTCACCCCAAATGCAACAGCTTCACCAAGTTATCAATCAACTCACTCACTTCAATTGCATTCATACTCTTAGGGAAGCAAATTTTGTGGCAGACTCATTATCCAAACACAGTCACCAGCTCACCAGTCCTCACGTGTACTTCAGCAGCCAGCAACTCCCCAAACTGACAGCAACATATCTTCAACAAGACCACGCAGGTATGGCAAGTTTCAGAAGAAGAAAATTGAAGAGAATTAAAGAACCTCCTTAATTTTTCACTGCCTAGAGGTCCTACGAAGAAGCCAGAACTTCTTCAGGCTCTCTTATTGGATGATCTATCAGTCAATCCCTATAGACTGCCCCTTGATAGGAAAGATTTTTATTTAGTCTTTTGCTTGTAAAGGGAGAGTCTCCCTTATTTATGCTTTCCTAGATTCTTTGTACCGAGAGGAGTCCTCTCATATAGGTGCATAGTTGATAGGCTCGTAAGTAGTTTGGGAAAGAGTTGGAGAACCTACTAATAAACTTAGTAGGCTACCAACTCTTATACCACCATTTACTGGAGGTTAGGTTTATGCCCCCCTCCATGTACTTTTGCCTTTTTTATCTATGTTAAGGCCTGGGGGTGTAGCTAAGCCCCTGACCCCCCCAAGGGTCATTACAAAAAAAAAAAAAAAAAAAAAACCTAAACCTAAACCTTTACCCTAAACCCTAAATCCTAAATTTTAAACCCTAAACCATATACCATAAGGGATAAACCCTGAACCCTAAACCCTATACACTTAACCCTAAACCCTAAACCCTATGTTTGAACTCTAAACCCTAAACCCTAAATCTTAAACTCTAAACCCTAAGCCCTAAACTCTTTAACCCTAAACCCTAAACCCTAAACCCTAAACCCAAACATAAAAACTAAACACTCTTAACCCTAAACCCTAAACCCTAAACCTAAACCCTAAAACCTAAACCCTAAACCTTAAACCCTTAACATAAACCCTAAACCCTAACTCTAAACCCTATACCCTTGACCATAAATCCTAAACCCTAAATACAAACTCTAAACCCTAAATCCTAAATCCTAAACCCTAATCCGTAAATTAATATCAAATATTACTTTTTGTTCTGTAGATTCTTCATTTGTATATTCTTCTTTTTTTATTATTTGTACGTCTTTTTCAGTCATCGATATTCTCTTCTATTTCAATTTCAGATATTTCATTTTCAAGTGACTCAAATTCATATATACTATCATCACTTTCTAGTTCATAATCTATGTAATCTATTTGGGTATATTCTTCATCATTAATTATTATTTCAGATATTTGTTTTTCTTTGGATTCTTAGGTAGTTTACAATCTTTAGCTAAATGTCCTAGTTTTCCGCAATTATACATGTACATTCTGTTATTTTTTTTCTTTGGTCTAAATGGTCTTTTTGCTTTAGTATTTTTTATATAATATCTTCTGCGAGGTTTTTTATACTTATACTGAGATTTATATTATTTAAATCTATACCTAATGATAGAAAAAGAAACAGTAAGATTAGAAGATAGTCTAACTGCAATGGTACGAATAACAAGAGAAAATGAAGAAATAGATAGGAAAAAAAGAAATAGATACAATAAAACAGCAAGTAAAATTAGAAATACAACAGATTGAATGTTTGACTTATGAACCACAATAGGATCGGAGGCTTAGTTTATGTCCCCCTCCTTGTATTTTGCTATATTTTATTTATGCTAAGTCCCGGCTGTTACTTAAGCCCTTGACCAACCCAAGGGTGGTTCAATTTTTTTTAAAAAAAAACTAAACCCTAAACCCTAAATCCTAAATGCTAAACTCTAAACCCTAAAAAGTAAACCCTATACCCTTAACCATAAACATTAAACTCTACTCGCTAAACCCTAAACCTTATAACCTAAACCCAAACCCTAAACACTAAACCCTAAACCCTAAACCCTCAACCCTCAACCCTCAACCCTCAACCCTCAACCCTAAACCCTAAACCCTAAGCCCTAAACACTCAATCCTAAACTCTAAATGCTAAACCCAAAATCCTAAACTCAAAACCCAAACCCTAACCATTAATCCTAAACCATAAACCCTAAACCTTTCCCTAAACCCTAAATCCAAACTCTAAACCCTAAACCCTAAATCCTAAACTCTAAACCCTAAACCCTAAACTCTAAATCCTAAACTCAAATTCCTAAACCCTAACCCCTAAAATTAAACCCTAAACCCGAAACACTAAACCCTAAACCCTAAATCCTAAATCCTAAACCCTAAACCCTAAACCTTAGCCCGATCCGTAAAACTTAAATCCTTAACCCTAAACTCTAAACCCTAAACCCTAAATCCAAACTCTAATCCCTAAAACCTAAACCCTAAACCCTAAATCCTAAACTCAAAATCCTAAACCTCCCTAAATCCTAAACTCAAAACCCCAAACCCTAAATCCTAAATTCCAAACTCTAAACCCTAAACCATAAATCCTAAACCCTAAACCCATACCCTAAACCCTTAACCATAAACACTAAGCTTTAATCCCTAAACCCTAAAACCTAAACTCTAAACCCTAAACCATAAACCATAAACCATAAACCTAAACCCTAAATTCAAACTCTAAACCCTAAACCCTAAAATTTAAACACCAAACCATAAATCCTAAATCCTAAACTCAGAACCCTAAACCTTAATCCTAAACCCTAAACCCTAAACCCTAAAACCTAAATCCTAAACCCTAGACACTAAACCCTAAATCCTAAACCTTAAACCCCATTGGTTCCTCATTTCCCAAATTTTCTCTCTCTCTAACTTATCTCTCTAAGTTGAGCGCTCCCAAGCCCAAGCCTAACAGCTAAAGGAACTGCCAGAATGGTGTGTGAGCCGCCGGTAGGCACCTTCAGGTCGCCGGACCAGTCCCAACAGAGGCGCCTTGAGCAGACGAACAAAACCCACCAAGAATCGCCATCTAATTCATCCTACAACTCCACAAATTCGCGAAACAATGAGGCGATGAACATCGCGATTTCAGAAAAGGAGTTGGAAGGGATTCAAAAAATTATTTCCCCAGATCGCGATATGGTGATTCATGGAAAGCTGTTTAGTGGGAATGAATCTACTAATCAAGGGCTACAACATACTAAAAAATCAGGTGATTCCACCTTGCCAATCGAGAGAACTGAGGAGGCAATTTCTGGGAAAATCGCCGCACCAGCACCTGAGCACCCTCAAATTCGATCATCTTCCCAGCAATTTCATGGCGATTGGAGCACTGGGGATTACTCACCTGATGAAGAGGTATATCTCACTGAAATTTCAAGTAAAATGGATGGTCCAATCGCCGGCGACAAGGAATCCGGTGATCGAACAGACAATAAATTAAAATGTGACGGCGCCCCTAAGGGGCACTTTTCTACTGATGAAGAGGTCCAGCTTACCAACATATCCATCAATTTAGCTCAAGAACACATCCAAAAGGAGATTCAGGCAAGTTTAGGTAGAATTACAACCAATCAACAAGTTGAGCTTGAAGAGCTCACTTACAGACCTGAAGCCGAACAGCAGGGGACATATACTCAGGATCATGCAGGTGCTAATGGTCAAAAACAGGACCAACATACAATTGATGAACACGGCATGGAGATGCAGTCTAAACAAAGAGATAAACGAATAAGGATGGACCAAAATGATCAACATGACAATACAAAATCTACAACTTTGGAAGTGATTGATGTGGAGAGTTCATCCCACTTCTCCTTTGGAGTTAAACCAACGGAGACAATTCCAAGCAATGGAGGACAACAGAGGCCAGGTAAGGAAATCAATTCTGCTAATGAACTTGAATATGATCATATGCAGGCACAATAGGTAATAAACACCAAGGCACAAAGTAATAATCTAAGTGTGGAAGGCATTTAAACAGGTAAGTCTTCTAACTCTGACTCTAGTCGAAATGCTGTTAGTCTGAGTTGCAGTGATGGCCATGTGCATGCTAATGCAAAAGAGCAAAATATTGTTAATTCGAATGATCAGGAACAGGGTAGGGAAGACAATGAATCCCAACAACAGGGTGATCGAAATCAAAGTGGTGAGAAAAATAAGAGTAATCTCAATTACTTAATCATGGAGGGAATTCTGATCCCAATAGTTATCACAAGGCTTTCCCTAAAATTTCCAGTAACTTTGATAAACATACCATTCCTAATCAGAAAGGTCAGCAAACTAACCATCCCAATCAAGCCAAAGGTCCCAGCACTACTAACGAGAATCAAACCACCAAACAGGACCAAAATGCAGAACCTGCTCCTTATACGGTGGAACAAATGCTGGCTGCAAGACTTAGGCAAATTCATGCTACACATGCAACATCTATAGAACTGGTCCCTCCCAGACACACGACCAAACAGGGCCAGCCTGCTGTGATTTATGACATGGATGACTTCATGAACAAGTTGACTGTAGACTTGTTAAATTCAGTACCACCATGCCGAAAATAGAACTCATCAGGAAGAGCTTTATCATGCAAACTCAACTGAACGGGGGAGTCAACATAGCTCACTATAAAGGCATGTGTTTATTGATTTGGAGAATGAACTAGACTATAACACTGTGTGGGCACAACAAAGAGTGACCATTGAGGTCAAACTTATGAGAATACAAGCCTAGACTCCCACTTTTCGACCAGAAGAAGAAACACTTATTGTTCCTATATGGGTACTACTGCCAGGATTTCCATGGCACTGCTTCAAGAAGGAATTTATCACACCTCTTCTAGAGTCTGTGGGCAAAGTTTTATACTTAGACACATCATATATTAAAAGAACTAGAGCTAGTATGGCAAAGGTTAAAGTTCAAGTGGATCTTACCAAGACAAGACCTAGACATGTTTAGATTGGTTTGGATTATGATGATCTCACTATAGGGATCTGGCAACCGATTGAATATGAAAATATCCCTCCCTACTGTGCATATTGCAGACATCAGGGACACATGCTAGATGAGTGTAACTTCAAGATAAGGGATGAGGAATTCAAAAGGAGGAAAGAACTAGAAACAGAAAAGAAAAGCATAAGTAGAAGTGAACAGGGACAGCAAGGAAATGATAACAGACAAACCAAGACAAAGGAACAAGAGGAGAAACAACAGCAAAACAAGGAAGGAAGCAATCAACAGCAGCCTGAGCAGCAAAAGGAAGAGGAATGGCAAATACAAAGAAGGAAAAACAATAAGCCACAGGAAGAAAGAATATAGAAAACAGTGTAGAGACCAACCACAACTCAGAACAGAGTGGCAAAAGAGCAACCACACAACACAGCCCAGCAAGCAGGTACAACTAACACCCCTAATCATAATTCTTTTACTAACCTTAACATGCAGGAATAACAAAATGCAGACATGCAGGAGCATAACAGTGATGTGGGGATGGCAATACAAGGAACACAGAACAAGTCTAAAGCAAATCATCACCAAAAAACACGGGTCATGCAAACAGAAAACAAAGATAATAACAAGAGCACAGGTATTAACTCAATGCTCCCATCTCCATAAACCCCAATAATTCCTATCTTGATGGTATTATTGAAGTTGAAGGAGGGATTGATGGGGATGTCAGGAGAAACAAACTAACATGCAGGAAGGGGGAACCAAAGGGGGGAATTTTGCCTCATGTTCTGCATGAGGGTACACATTTTGACCATAGTTCAGACCTTAGAACTCCTGCTTCAACTACAGGCCAACATCATAGTTCGAATCAACTACAGGTACAACAGCAAGAACAATCAGGGCAAGAAAGCAAGTTAATACAGAAAATAACAAGGAAAAACAACCAGTGGAAGCAAGAACTACAGGTAAACAAAACAATGGATCCATGGCAAAAGATATGGGAGCCAAAGCAAGTACTAGCACCCAAGGAAACACTCCCAAAATGATAACAGCAAGGTTAATGAGATCATAATTAGAGAATTGAATATTAGAATGCGGAAGCACAAAAGAAAAGAAACAAAAAACCTAACTAAAGATATGGGAAATTCAAAGGAAAGATCCAAGAATTTCCAAGGATTAGATGTTCTAAGGCCTTGAAAAGATCCAAGTAACAACGTATAGATTTATGGAAGAAATCTAACGCCTTTACTTGAGAAAATGAATCAAAATGATAGATTTGGATCTTGACTGCTTTATGAGTAACTAAAGACAATAATTAGTATGTAGAAACTAATTCATCTTCTAAAGAATACCAAAAAGAAACCAAAGATATCACAAGAAGAAGTTACTTTATACCTTAAACTATGAAACTAGTAAAGGTTTAAAGATAAATTCTCAAAGAACAAGTCACAAAGGTTCAAAGAACTCTCTCAAAAATTGTTAATATCAATGTAAATTGTCTTTAATGAATGAAAAGGACTCCTATATATAGGAGAAGGGAAAAACGTCCAAGAAGCCAAACCCTAAAAAAAACAATTACAAGGAATCCTACTCTAGAAAGGAAATAAAGTAACCTAACTAGGAACAAATTTAGTACTTCTAGGAAAGCATTAAATGGTACTTAGGAGACCATAAATAGACTAAGGAAAATATTAATAACCTATATATAAATAAATAAATAAGGTAAATCCCAACTAGGAAAAGAATCTTGACAATCTTGGAAAGTTTGACTAGTCTTCTCTCAAAACTTGGGCAGAAAGCAACTCTTGTTGTGGCTGATTCTTGGACTCTTCTTGACCTTATTTGCACGAAATTGGACCTTAAAATTCCTCATCTTGGGCTTGAATTTGGGCCACCAAATAATTGTAGCATTTGGACAATTCCTCTCCCTTGGGCTTGAGCTCTTCTTCCCCAATAAGACACCTTTGGATCAGCGATTGAAGCCCATTGAGCTTATCATTGAACTCCTTGGTTTGAGATATTGTTATGGGCCTCCTTGGAGTTTCTAAAGCTTCATCCTTGTCCTTTAATGGAGTAGAGCTTCCTTGGATGCTATCACAAAAGCAAGAACAAACCTAGCAAAAAAAAAAGAGAAACTGCAAAAAAGAGACAGAACATACAACAAGGTAGTGATCAGCAGGGGGAACAACAAATGAATGGGGAAGTTTGCAAGAAATTTATTATGGTTGATGAACATCTGGGCATGGATATTACTCCTCTACAAACACAATATATGACTCCTCCTCGTAATGTGCCTGGATAAGAGTCCTGAAAAGTGTCAAATGAACAAAGGTCCCATAATTGATAAATATGTTGTTGACAACTCTGATGAGGATGATGAGACCAGTGAGTTACTGATTAGAGCTTTTAGTCCTCATCCTGATAAAGGCCTTGAAGATGAGATTCAACAGGTGGCTAATAATCAAGGATTATCTCCCAGAGGACTACACCATGATAGATTCCAATTCAAAACACAAGACATCAACACTATCACTACTGGCAGATTGCACTAGGCTCTTTACTTCCAGATCATCTCAATGATTAGTACACTCATTTGGAATGTGAGGGGGATCAACACACCCAAGGAGTCCTTGAAAGACTCAAAATGCTCAAGAAAATGCACCAACTCTCCATCATTGCTGTCCTTAAACCCTTTTCAGACACTATCCAGGTTCAAAGTTATAAAAACCAATTAGCTATGGAGCAGGCTATGAGTAATTGCAATGGAAAAATTTGGCTTTTTTGGACTAGGGACATTGACTGTGTTATACTACAGGAAGATGAACAGCAAATTACTTGTGATATACGACATAATGAGTTACAGACTCAATTCACCACAACCTTTGTATATGCTAAGTGTAAGGATCATCTCAGAAGACCTCTATGGGATAGAATGTTATACTTTGCTGCTGAAAATAACAAGCCTTGGTGCTCTATAGGTGACTATAATGTTATTACTGCCTTAGAATTCATAGTTGTGATTGAAGCTTGTGGTCTCATGGATTTAGGCTTCAGTGGACAGAAATTTACTTGATCGAAAAGGTTGGACAGAGCTCTAGTTAATGATACTTGGCTGGAAAAGATGCCCCAGACTACCATCACTCACTTACCTTCAGTAGAATCAGACCACTGTCCCCTACTTATGGAAATGACTGCTAGGGAGGAAGAGCACATCAAATACTTTAAATTTCTTAACTGCTGGGTTGATCAACCTAACTTCCTTGACATGGTTAAATCTTGCTGGGAAAGGATTGTAGAGGATAACAACATGTGGAGATTTCACCAGAAATTAAAAAGGTTGTCTAACACCCTCCTTAGCACCTGGTCAAGAGGGGAATTTGGTGATATTTTCATGAAAGTCAGGGAGTATGAAGAGAAGATAAGAACTGCTGAAGAGAAACTTATCCAAAAGCACACTGATACCAACAGGACTATTCTTCATGAACTGAATGCAGATTATATCAAGTTTTTGAAGTTAGAGGACTCCATTTTGAAGCAAAAAACACAACTACAATGGTTCAAAGAGGGTTATTACAACACTAAATATTTCCATTCTCTGATAAGAGGAAGAAGAAGAAGGCAAATATTTATTCACAAGCTTATCAGGGAAGATGGGGAATGGATACAGGGAGAAGAGGTTATTGCTAAGGCTGCCTGTGACCATTTTCAGAACATTTTTACAGGGGAAAACAACTTCATCAACGAGGGTGCTATGGATTGCATCCCTAGGATGGTTAACCAGGAGCAAAATAATAGCCTAACTGTTATGCCTACTTTGGAAGAGTTGAAAGAGGTTGTATTCTCTATGAATCCTAATTCTGTAGCTGGCCTGGATGGGATGAATGGTTATTTTTTCCGAAATGCTGGTACATCATCAAACATGATCATTTTGGAGTCATTCAAGCCTTTTTCTGTGGCCAGATGATACCTAAGTATTTTCCTCATTCTTGCATAGTTCTTCTTCCTAAAGTGAGCAATCCCAACAAACTCACTGAGTTCAGGCCCATCAGTTTAAGCAACTTCACTAGCAAGATCATATCTAAATTGGTGAGCTCTAGACTTGGTCCTATTTTACCTGAGTTAGTGTCCCTCAATCAATCTGGATTTGTCAAAGGGAGAAGTATATCAGAGAACATTATGCTGGCACAAGAGATTATTCATCAAATTAAGAAACCTAATATTGGGAGCAATGTCATCATCAAATTGGACATGGCTAAGACATATGATAGGATCTCCTGGTCCTATATATGCTTGGTGTTGATAAGAATGGGGTTTGATGAGGTCTTTATTGATATGGTTTGGAGGATCGTGGCTAACAATTGGTACTCTATTATTGTCAATGGCAAAAGGCATGGTTTCTTTCACTCCACTAGAGGTCTCAAACAAGGTGATCCATTATCTCCTGCCCGGTTTATTTTAGGTGCAGAGGTCCTTTCTAGATCCTTGAACAGACTTCACAATAATCCAGATTACCATGGTTTCTTCATGGAACCTAGAGGTCCCCAAGTGAACCACTTAAGTTTTGCTGATGATATCATTCTTTTCACCTTTGGAAGACAAATAACCCTGAAGCTAATTATGCAAACCTTGAAGTCTTATGAAGAAACCTCAGGCCAACTTGTTAACACTGACAAAAGTCATTTTATGGTCCATCCTAGTGCCTTCATCAACACCAGATAGAGGATCAAAAGAATCACTGCCTTCAGACAGAAGGAGGGTCCCCTCACCTATGTTGGTTTCCCTTTATTTGTTGGTAGACCAAGGATTATCTATTTTTCTGATCTTATTAACAAAGTGTTGTGCAGAATCACATGTGGCAAACAAAGTTGTTGAGCTATGGTGGTAGAGCAATCCTAGTCAAGCATGTATTGCAGTCTCTACCTGGTATTCATCTCTTATCAGCTGTGACTCCTCCTGTTACTATCCTAAAACAGGTCCAAAGCATCATGGCTGACTTCTTCTGGGGATGGAGTAATGAGAGGAAAAAATATCAATGGGCTTCTTGGAAGAAGTTAAGCTTTCCTTTTGATGAGGGAGGTGTTGGCAAGAGAAACCTCAAGGATGTGTGCATGGCCTTCCAATAAAAACAATGGTGGATTTTAGGTCCAAACAGACCCTTTGGGGAGAATTTTTAAAGGCTAAGTATTGTCAAAGGTCAAATCCTATTAGCAAGAAATGGGATACAGGAGAGTCACTAACCTGGAAACATTTGATGCACAACAAGCATAAAGTTGAGGAACATATTCAGTGGAAACTCAACTCATGCAATTGTTCATTCTGGTGGGACAATTGGCTAGGTGTTGGACCTCTTGCTCAATTCTCCACTGACA